GGGGCTGGGAGGGGGGCAGATGAGTTTCCCTGGTGGTGCCCAGAGTGGCCACCAGGGGAAGCTGGGAAGGGCTAGCCTCCCACTAGTTCGAATTAAGTGGCTACACAGCCCTTAATTCAAACTACTTAATTCAAACTAGGTGTTAGTCCTCGTAGAATGAGGTTTACCTAGTTCGAATTAAGCGCTCTGATAGTTCGAAATAAGTTCGAACTAGCAGTTTGCATGTGTAGCGTCTATTAAAGTTAATTCGAACTAATGGCTGTTAGTTCGAATTAACTTTGTAGTGTAGACATACCCTAAGAGTAGAGGAGAGAATTGCACTTTGTGTTCTACATTTTTTACAGTTCCTAGCACAAATCTGCCATATCCAGGACTGGGACTTCTAGGAAATGCAACTACCACAGAACTGATACTCAATAATAATAATTATGAAATGTACCCCAGGTAGCAAGAGCTGTCAAGACTATGGCCTTTTGTTCCCACCATGTAGGTGCATGAGGAATGTCATATGGAAACTCCATGGGTCTCACAAGTCTTCCTCTGAGGACAGTTGTCCATATTACTACTTTTTTTAATGGAAACCACTGTACTGAGTTTTGTCTTTAATAAAAAATAATATTTCTGCTGATGAAAATAGTCAAATGAAGTGACCATATTTTGGATGTCTTGTTAACAGCAAGGGTTCTAGAATTTGAGAGTGAGGACAGGAAAATAAGCTCATTAGCTGATCTGATATTCAATGAAGATTACTTTTTTGTTGCATTTTTATGAACCCATCAAGCCGCCCTTTATGTGCCATTTAGATAACTGTTAATGAGCACAGTGTAAGTTAATGTCTATAACACTACTCACAGCACATACCAAAAAATAAAAAGAGGTTACTGATGGTCATAGGGATTATTGCTTCATGGCCAGTAAAGCTGAGCAATTATGGGGAAAAAACACTATTTCTTGAGATGCACTCAGAGTGGCAAATTTCTGTTTTGAAATGATACGTTCTATTTTTAAGTAACATGCATCAGGCTCCTGATTTATGTATTACAGTATGGAGAGCCAACTTATTTTTTTTCTTATTGGAGTTTCTGCAAACATATAAAAGGTGCCCATCTGCTACTCTGTGAGTATTTGATATTATTTAAAATAACACAACCAAACCAGTAATAAATGCTCACAAGAAAGCTCCGTCCCTAGCACTATTCACCAGGAGCACTTTCCCACCACACCTGAGCCTTCCATAATCCACTTACACCTTTTCGACACTTGAGCAGAAAAGTGGACCAACCATAAGAGTTATAAGAATATGCTGATATTCTATGGAAGGCTATGCATCTCCATGATGACAGAGAAGGGATCTGTGACCATGGTAACAGCAACGGGTCAGTGAGAGTAAGCATTGGACTTCACATTAGGTCACAAAGGAAGAAAGATGATTTTGGAGTATGCATGCTGGTTATGGAGTATGCATGCTACAATACTATGAAGCTGGAACTGCAGCCTAAAAACAAACAAACAAACATTTTGTGTTCAACACTCACAACTACTTTGGTAAATTTCACAACCTGAAAACTTGACCTAGTGATTTGCTCATTTTACTGTTAATAAACCTGCTGTTTGACTTTTTTTTTTAACTCAGTAACAGATACTCACATATACTTATGTTAAAATTGAAGTCTGAGTTTCCATTCTCTCTTTTTGTATTGTATTGGAACTTGGGAGCAATCACCCATCAAGTAATTTGTAGAAAAGTTCTTAGTTTCTGCCTTTCTCAGTCCAAAATGCATGTTTCAAAGGGAAAATGAATTTTTAAGAGTTGCTAAAAAAAATTTCTCAGAAAACTAGAAGTCGGTGCATGAACAATGCAATTTTTGGAAGCTTCAGGGGGTAGCCAAATTAGTCTATACAAGTAAACTGAAAAAACAACGAAGAATCTAGTAGCACTTTATAGAATAACAAAACATGTAGATGATATCATGGGCTTTCATGGGCACAGGCAGTCATCTGAAGACCTGGGCCATGCCCATGAAAGCTCATGATACCATGTACATGTTTTGTTAGTCTATAATGTGCTCCCAGATTATTTGTTGGTTTTTTTCACTTTTAATGCAATTTTATGAGTGTTTTCTGATTATATATGTATGAGAGAAGCTCCAAATATTAGCAGGACAGGAGCTCACCTAACATAGACATTTTAGTCCTATGCTTGTTGACGTTGAACATTGTGGTTTGTTGCCTGCTCAGAATGTTGTATTTTTCAAATGTGGCTTTACTGTCAATTTTCTCTTTTTCCTCCCCCTCTTCCCATTCATTTTATTCACAAACTTCCATTTCATCTTGGCCTTTTGTTTTCTAATGCATCAGTTGTGCCAACTACAGTGCTTCCCACCAGCCCTGAAACCCTTGTTCCACCAACCTCTCTGACTGATTCCTCTCCTTCCCCTTCAGCTATCCCAAGTTCCAGTGTCCTTCCCTCTGCTCCCCGAGATGTGGTCCCTGTTTTGGTCTCCAGTCGATTTGTCCGTCTCAGCTGGCGTCCACCGGCAGAAGCGAAAGGGAATATCCTGGCATACACTGTTTACTTCTCCAGGGAGAACGTCAACAGGTAAGTGCCAATGGCTAAGTCAGCTTAGCCAGTCCACTACTGTTAGTAGAAGGCTCATATTCCTAAAGCTGCACAAGGTTTTAATATCATCTCACAAACTATTCTTATGTTTTTGGACACAATATATCACAATAATAGCCAGTATAAAGACACAATCATTTCCCATGGCAATCTATTTATTGTAATTTATCTAAGGTCATAGACCATGCTTAGTTCTTTGATATCAGAGTCTCTGTGTCTAGAATGGCAGGATATTCATTGCAGTTTATACAATCCCAATTTACTTGTAACAACTTTATCATCCTAATTTCTTGTCTGAATATGTGGCTAGTAGATTAGTACATTTACTTTTCATTCCTTCTGGAGACACTGGTTCAAATTCTGTTAAAATCACAAGTGAAATTAAATTTGGTGAGCTTTATCTTAAGCGATAAAGGAGGATTGATGTAGCACAAAGCCAATGTCTCATTCAGCAGCGGTATAAAATGAGATAACAAGGATGGGTGCAAGAGTGGTACAGGTATTTCAGGTGGGAAGTGAGATGTTAATAGTAGAGTTTTGTGTTTGAGATTGCTTCATAAGTATTTATAGGTATAGATTGAAAAGTTATTCTGTAATAAGAGGGGTTGTGGTAATCTTGTTTGTTGGTGCTCCCATGTTTCCCTGTCTAATGGTCACAATATATACACTTTTAGTTTAGTTTTGTTTTTCTACCAGGGAAAATCAACCTGAGGTCAGAGAGTTAAGTTGGATTTTCCCATTTTTTTCACATAATTGTCCATAATCCAGATGGAGTTCATTCTGCCACTTTCACTTTGCTGTACTTGTAAGACACCTCAACTGTGTGATGGCTGTTGGTGCTCTTGTATGAGCCAGACAGAACACAGAGTCTGAGGGGGAATTGGAATGAAAGCTAGAAGTAAATGGATTTGCAATGGAATCACTGAGAACTAATAAACTGGGAACCCCAGGATCATTCTGTGTAGTTATTTCCCCAAAAAACCTTTCTTTCCAATTTATTCTCAATTTCTAAAGTGGAGCAGCATCTGCAGAGAGAGATTTTTTGGGTCAGCCTTGTTGTTTTGACGACTATACCTGATCCACAGTGAAGTATATGCTTAGCTATCAAGGGCCCACTCCTATTCTCTCGTTGTTTACTTGTACTTTCCTGTCTGTCCATATCCATCTATTGTCTCTTGTCTTATATTGTAAGCCTTTTGGACCAGGGATGGTGTTTGTTTTCTATGTTTGTGAAGTGCCTAGCTCAAGGAGGCCCTGATACATGACTAGGGATTATAGATCCTACAATAATACTTTTAGTAATAAATAATAATTAATACAGTGTTACCAAAGGACAATCTTGGAGATTAGCGTGTGCAAAAGCTGCAGGGTTAGGCCTTTGATCTCTATCATTATATGTGATATTTGATGATGCTATAATATACAGGTTGGACCTCCCTTGTCAAGCACCTTGGAACCTGACAGATCCCAAACAAGGGAATTTGCCAGACCAAGGAAGGTAAATTCCAGGCTCCACCCCCAGCCCCAACTGCATCCCTCCTCCCTCGGATGCCAGTCCCCTGGAGTGGCTCTGTTTTTTGTTTTACATTAAAAGCTGGGTTGCCAGCCTTGCTTCCATCCGTCTGGGGTCCTGTCCACCAGCTTTGCTTGGATTGCCAGCCCAGGCCAGTCTGCTGCCCCTGCTGTAGATTCTGGCCTGGGTAGAGCTGGTCAGTGGATGCTGGCGGACCAGAGAGTTCTGGTTTATACAGGTTCAAATTGTACATGTTTTTTTTTAGAAAAAACACCACTTTGCACCGCTCAGAACAAATAAAAAGTTACATTTATGGCCTAAATTCTCATAAGAGTCAAACCATTCTCTTTAATAGAAAACTGCACCCGCCTTGCTCAGCAGAACACCCTGCAAGTACATAATGCCCACAGGATGTCTTTTTATGATTAAAGGTTGAAAATGTATTTTTTTCCAGAAACCTCTTTAATTAAGTTGGCATTTCGAAGGCTAGTGCTAGAGGCAGCCATCTTCCTGAAACATGATGTCATTTGTGGGAGCCCTGTGGAGTGTCTATAAAGTTGAAGAGGAATTATAGTCATATGTTGAAAGCACAGCCCTGGGAACCAGGATTGTAGAGTTTTATTCATATGTCTGCCACAGACTTACCTGTAACATTGTGTTGTGAAGATAACATATTAATAGGGCTGTCAAACAATTAAAAATCTAAGCACAATGAATTGTGTGATTTAAAAGGGTTGTGATTAATCATACTTTTCATTGCACTGGTAAACAATGGAATAACCATTATATTTATTATAAATATTTTGGATGTTTTTCTACATTTTCAAATCCATTGGTTTCAGTTACAGCACAGTCTACCGAGTGTACTATGTACTATGGTTCTCTCAGCCACCAGGTCAAACCAGCACTGATTTCAGACATTAAGGCAGCTGGGGCTCAGCAGACTTTTGAAGAGATAGGTGCTTGAGGAAAGACCAACCTAGCAGTAAAGTTGAACCATTTCTAAATGGTGTTTCCTCGGTGCTAGGATACTGAGGTAACAGTCTCTGTTTGTGCTGTTGGCTACCAGTAGATAGAATTCAGTACCAGCATCTTCACCTCACAGGGCAGGATACTTTCAGCCCATGACAAGTAGGGGAACACTGGATAGGGGTGGAAAAAAAGAAAGCTGCAATAGTTATCCTTGTCAGTAGAGCCGGGTGGCCCATTCTCAACTTGGGGGGAGGCTGCCTCTAACTCCCCCTCAGGGGGGTTCAGAAATGGACTACTGTGACTACTGTTCCAGATCAAGTGTGGCTGACTCCAGGGCCATTCAAACAGCTGGCCCTGTAGCTAGCCACACTGGCTGCTGCTGAAGCAGCCCCTTTGCCAGCCATATTGCTCCGGCGGCCTCCAGCAGCTGGTGCTGTGTCAGGCTCTGCCCCTCCATCAGCAGCCCCCATAGGTGCCTCCTACAGCAGCCATTTAGTCAGTGGTATTTACAGTATAAGTCATGGACATTCATTTTTATTTATTGTCCATGCTCTGTCCCCTTTTCACTAAAAATACCTATGGCTAAATTGTAGCCTTATCCATTAGCTACCTCAATTTGGGCACCCAACAATTTATGTGGTGAAATAAGTGGCCGTTCTTAAAAGTATGAATGTCAACATTTGTGCTGTAGTATCCTAAGCCAGGGATGATAATACCTCCCATATCACACATGAAAAATTCCATGCTTTGAGATTTGAGGATTGTAACAGTGCAAAGCATTATTACAATGATTTTTCATCTGCTTTAATGATAGTGTAGGAATTGCCATACTGAATCAGATCACTAGTCTGTCTAGCCTAGAATCCTGTTTTCAACAATGGCTGATATCAGCCCAACTGTCAAAAGACTACTTCCGTATTTAAATATGGAACATTTATATAGAACTATTATTATTTTAAGACTGCAAGATATATCCGTGTCTATATCTGTATATTAAGGGCAACCTCCAATTCCCTTACAGTGGTTGAATATTTTCTCCCATTTAATTTCAGTAGCACTATTCACTGAATAAGGTAGTATGCATGAGGATATCAGAATCCAGACCTAATGTAGATATGGAAGTTGCTAACACTCACTTGCATAGTACTGTCTTTTGTTTCACTTGCAAAGGTTATGCTTCCAATATAAAACAAAAATCTTTTTAGCAAGTTGACAGCCTGTAGCTTAAAAATGCCAATTGTAATTGAAAACTTTCTTAAAAACTACATTTCACAGTTTAGCCATGGTGAGAAATGCCTCTGGTCTTCTGAACTTTAAGCCTGTGAGGCTGAGCAAAATGTATGCTGTTTTACTTTAAGCGCCTGCATAGACTACTGAGTCATTTATTGTTTATACATTATTTTTACAGAAGAGCTATTTTTCTCTTTACAAAAGTAGTGGATATGACATTAACCTCGGGCATGCAAAGAAATTGTCAAGCAAATTACTGTAACTCTAGAATAAGAAGCTCTTCCCAGTGTTTGAGAATAACAGTAATTTGCTTGACGATTGACAGTACTGGTAATGCTAGGGATGTGTATAAGTCCATATCATCATACATCTTCAGAGCCAAACTAAAGCTGTACAATAACTACTGGGTGACATCCATTTTATAAGTTTGAGAAATAGATTGAGAACCAAGTTTCCACAGATTGTACACTTTCCTCACTGCTACTCCAACTTTCCCCAGTAAGTAAATTTTAAACCTTCCCCATCAGCACTCTTGCATTGCATAATACTGTTACTGGATACTAAAGAGCCAGGCAAGTTTTTGAACTTGAGATAATAAACAGCAGATTGCTGAAAAAAAGCTGGATTCCTTTCAAGGATGTCTTTCCTTACCAGACAACAAGGAGAAGTTTATTTAAAATGGTACTGAAATTTGAACGAGAGAGCTTCCCTGATTCAACACTGGCAAAGAGAAACTCCTTGGGAAGTAAAATCATGTATCCCTATATTCTCACCTTTTGTGTACTTTTGATGGCCTTCATTTACAAGTTTAATTCTTATGCAAATGGAATAACAGGGACATCAGCTGGCTGGCCCACAACCTTTCACATCCTAATGACTTAACCAACCAACCAACCAGTGGAGATGCTAATTGTTCTTATCTGCCTCTTTTCTCTCTCTTTTTTTTCCCTCCTCACCCCCTTCCCTTATTTATTCTTGGATCTGGACTTTTAATATTCCAGTCATGTGAAGAAGTGGGTTGCACCCATGAAAGCTCATGATACCATCTATTTGTTTTGTTAGTTTTTAAGGTGCTATTAGACTATTAGGGTATGTCTACACTACAAAGTTAGTTCGAACTAACGTCCGTTAGTTCGAACTAACTTTCATAGGTGCTACACTAGCGCTCCGTTAGTTCGAATTTAAATCGAACTAACGGAGCGCTTAGTTCGAACTAGGAAAACCTCATTTTACGAGGATTAAGCCTAGTTCGAACAAGCTAGTT